AGTATTGTACTTCAAATTATGTAGCAGTGTTTGGTTGAACTATTAAGTTTTTCGTCTTCCGCATTTCTGGTTATTTAATTTATTCAGTTGTTTCATCACTTAATACTTTGAATTGTTGCGCATGCTTAATAAAAAGGGTCATGAAAATTATAATACTCAGCTTGCCCAGCTTTCACGAGTAGGCGTCATCACGATTCCCGAGAAATTCGGGTCGTCACAATAAGCAGCATAGCGAATAACTTTTTTGTTATTTTTTTATTATATCATCCAATATTTAGTATTATTACATTGTTAATAGAAATTTCTATCAGCATATTACTTTATTTAGTATTTTTCTCTGTTGCTTTGTATTTATAATATAATAAAAGATATATATTTTATTACTCTTGAAATAATTTTTATTTTAAATTTTATTCTATTGTTCTAAAAAATATTGCCTGAATTTTAATGAACAAATTTTCGATTAAATTAAAGGGAACTATGTAGTCATATAATAACTTTTTGTTATGTATTTATCTTTATTATATCACCCATGTTTGAATAGTTAATTTTAGGTAGTTAATTTCGCTGTGTATTTTCTTATCGTTTTGTTTTGTAAATAACTTTTGAATCTCCAAATTTGTTGGAGCTTTGCCTAAAATTTGTCACCTTGTTAATTTTTTGATGTTACATTTGAAATTATCACAATAATTTGCTTTCCCAATTCTATATAAATAGAATAGATATTGTCTGATTTTTAATGAATGAAATCTCTATTAAATTAAATGGACTTATATAGTCGTCAAATAACTTTTTTGTTATGTAATTTTATGTATAATATTATCCAACGTTTAGTATAATTATATTGTTAATAGAAATTATTAGCATATTACTTGTTTAATATTTTTGTCTGGTAATTTTTTTGTAATATAATAGAAGATATATATTTTATTACTCTTTGAAAATATTTTTTTATTTTAAAGTTTATTATATTTTTCTCAATAATATTGTTTGAATTTTAATGAATAAATACACTTTTATTTTAAAAAAGAAAAACGAAAATAACTTTAAAAAATGAAATAAAGAAATTAACTAACTTAAACCAACCCTCACCAATGTTTGAGTAATTAATTTAGGTAGTTAATTTCTTTGTTAATTTTCAATAAATAATTTCTTTGTTATTACCTAATTATGTCAAGTGTCTTTTTTCTAGGATACCACTTGGACTAATGTGGTGCCTTTTTCTTTGGCTTTTAATAATATATAGATAGATTATTAGCATATTACTTGTTAATATTTTTGTCTGCTAATTTTTTTTTGTAATATAATAGAAGATATATATTTTATTACTCTTAAAAATATTTTTTTTATTTTAAATTTTATTATATTTTTCTTAATAATATTGTTTGAATTTTAATGAATAAATACACTTTTTATTTCAAAAAAAGAAAAACAAAAATGATTTTAAAAATGAAATAAAGAAATTAACTAACCTAAACAAACCCTCACCTATGTTTGAGTAGTTAATTTAGATAGTTAATTTCTTTGTTAATTTTCAATTGATAATTTCCTGGTTATTAACCAATTGGCTTTTTTCTAGGCTACCACTTGGATTAATGTAATGCCTTTTTCTGAAATTTCTAAACTATCCACATAGGGAAACAGGCAAATTGACGGAGAGCCGTTAAACTCTCACTTATAGAATAATAGAATATATATATATGGATTTGAATTAGCAGTTGTTTATTTTTTTATTTTGATTTTTATTATAAAATAATTTTAAAGTTCCAACTTTGTTGGAGCTTTGTCCTAAGAATCTACACTTGTTGTCTTATGGTTATACCACTTGACATCATATAATTATTTATTTCTCTTTATATATTTATATATATACACACACACTACAATATTATAAAGAAACTACTCCACAATTTGATTAAAAGTTTTTTTTATTTCTTTTTTATAAAAATAATTTTAAACGCCAACTTGAAACTACTCCCAATTTGAATTGGTAATTTTTATTTTTTTATTTTGCTTTTTATTTTAAAATTATTTCGATTTTTATTATAAAATTATTTTAAAGTTCCAACTTTGTTGGAGCTTTGTCCTAAGAATCTACACTTGTTGTCTTATGATTATACCACTTGGCGTTATATAATTATATATATATATATATATAATTATATATATATATATATATATATACACACACACACTACAATATTAGAAAGAAACTACTCCACAATTTGAATTAAAGTTTTTTTATTTTTTTATTTTGGTTTGTTTATTTTAAAATAATTTTAAACTCCAACTTGAAACTACTCCCAATTTGAATTGGTAAATTTTTATTTTTTTTATTTCATTTTTTATTTTAAAATTATTTTAGAACCCCAACTTGAAACTACTCCCCAATTTGAATGGGTAGTTTTTCTTCTCTCTTTTTTCATTTTTATTATTATAGCTAATTTTTTTATTTTTATTTTCGCTTTTTTTATTTTTTTTTTAAAACTCCAACTTAAAACTACTCCCACCCAATTTGAATGGGTAATATATTTTCGTTTTTTTATTATAGTTATTATAAGATATCTATATTTATTAATTCAAATAAAGTAACCAATTCATATATATATATATATATATTATTTTTTATTATTTTCGTTTTTTATATATATTTAAATTCAAAAATAATAATCAATAAGTAATTATTAACTAAATAACTAATTAGTAACTAATTATGCGATGTGGCTTTTTTTAGGCTGCCACTTGGCTTAAGGAGATGGCTTTGTCCTCTCCTTTTAACAATAACTAGTAGTGGTACCCGCGTGATGCGTGGTCTATAGTAAAAAATATTAATTAATTAAATTATGATCGTGCTTGTTTAATCCTATTAGGTTGTATTGCTTTAATAAAATTCAATTGGCATCTTGTTTGTCAATACGATATACCAATAATAAAATCTCTATTAAATCAAAGGTACTTATATACTCAGTGAATAACTTTTTTGTTCTATATTTTTCTTTATTATATTAACCAATGTTTAGTATTCACTTTCCTTTTGTAATATATGAGAAGATATATAATTTATTACTGTTGAGATATTTTTTATTTTAAATTTTATTCTATTGTTCTAAATAATATTATTTAAATTTTAATGAATAAAATCTCTGTTAAACTAACAGGACTTATACAGGCAGCGCATCGAACAACCTTTTTGTTATGTATTTTTCTTTATTATATCATCCAATATTTAATATTATTACATTGTTAATAGAAAGTTTTATTAGCATATTACTTTATTTAATATTAGACTTCTCCCTTCTCTCTCTCCTCGATAAGCCTATAATCCTAACGGTAACATCTTCATCTCCTCCGACAAATCCACCGGCAAATCGCGCCGCCGACACTTGTACAGGCGAACTAGGTAAGTACTCGTCCCTATCTTTCTCTCTCCTTTCTCTCTCCCCGCATCTCTCTCTTTCTTCCCCTTTCTTATAACCCTAGAAGCAGCTAGGCCGGCGTCCGGCGACCCACCGGCGCCGTCTCATCTTCCTTCTGCTTTTCCGAACCAACTGCACCACCCTCCTCTGTATTTCCCTTTCTTCAAACCTTTCCTCGTCATACCATTGTTTCTTGGACCGACACTATTTTCCGGCGTCCGTTCCGGTGACAGTCCTCTCCTTTTCTTGGTCCCGTGGTGTGTATGTGTGTTTCAGGTAGCACTTTCGGTGGCTATTTTGGTGATGGATAGGAGGTGCACGGGCAAAGCAGAGCAGGCCATTTGACAATCGCAAAGGGATGGACGTCAGGTTCCAAAGCACCCAGGTTATATTCACGGGAATAGCTGCGGCTGCCCAGGCAAGCGCGAGGCATACGGGCGAGTAGAGCGGAGCATCACCGGGTGCATCAAGTCATATCTCCAGGTTCTTTCCATCGGTAGTTGCTATCTCCCATTTTCTTGTCTCTTTCTCTATGTTAGTTAATTTGTGGCTATTTAGTTAGTATCACTTTAAGCATCTTATTAGAATACTTGTAGTTGCAACCGGTTATTTTCTAGTTTGGGTCCGTGTTAGTATTTTCTGGAGTTTGCCGTAAGTATAGTGGCTGTGGTGTGGGATGGTAGAGTAAGGTCATGTCCTCGAGGGGTTCCGGGGGTGAGTAGGNTATATAGCTTGTGTCCAGGAGACTAGGTGGGCAGGGACAAAGGCGAGGAATACGGATGGGTATAAGTTGTGGTACTCTAGAGTTGTGAGGGGTAAGAATGGAGTGGGTATCTTGGTGGATAGGGATCTTAGAGAGTCTAGTTGAGGTTAGGCGAGTGAATGATAGGCTAATGTTTATTAAGTTGGTGATTGGTGAGTGCACCCTCAATGTCGTTAGCGCTTATACACCGCAAGCGGGCTTGGATGATATTATGCGTAGTATTCCACCTACTGAAAGGTTATTTATTGGAGGGGATTTTAATGGCCATATTGGAGCGGCTGCTGGTAGTTATGGCGAGGTGCATGGTGGCTTTGGCCTTGGGGATAGGAACGGGTGAGGTACTTCGCTGTTAGACTTCTCTAAGGCTTTCAAACTGGTGATTGCGAACTCGACTTTCCCGAAGAGGGAGGAGCATTTGGTTACTTTCCGAAGTTTGGTGGTGAAGACTCAAATCGATTATCTTCTCCTCAGAAGGTGTGATAGAGGGTTTTGCAAGGATTGCAAGGTTATCCCGGGAGAGACCCTCGCGACTCAACATAGGCTCTTAGATGGACATCGACATTATGATGAATAGGAAGAAGAGGTATGCTCGTGGCCGACCGAGGATTAGATGGGGAGCTTTAACCAAGGATAAAACCCTGGAGTTGGAGGGGAGGTTATCTACTATGGGAGCTTGGAGGAGTAGTAGAGACGCGAGCACTATGTGGTCGACGACGGCGAACTATGTGAGGGAGGCGGCGAGAGAGGTGCTAGGTGTATCGAAGGGTTTTTCTAGTAGGCACCAAGGAGGCTGGTGGCGGAATGACATAGTATATGGTAAAATGGAGGTGAAGAAGGTAGCGTACGCGAAGTTAGCAGGGAGCACAAGCGAAGAGGAGAGGAGTGCGAATAGAGAGGGGCACAAAGTGGCTAGGAAGGAGGCAAAGCTGGTGGTCACGGAGGCTAAGAATACAGCGTTTAGCCGTCTATATGAGGAATTAAGGGATAAAAGCGGGGAAAGGAAGTTGTTTTGTCTGGCTAAAGCGAGGGAGAGGAAGGCCCGGGATCTGGACCAAGTAAGGTGCACCAAAGACGAGGATGGTAGAGTATTGATGGGGGAGTCCCAAATTAAGCATAGATGGCAGACATACTTTTATGGTCTTCTTAATGAGGAGGGGGACCGGGATATAGCTCTAAGGGACTTGGGTCATTCGGAGAGTCTCCGAGATTTTAGGTATTGCAGGCGCATTAAGGTAGAGGAGGTCGTGAGGGCTTTGTGTAAGATGAGTAGGGGTAGAGCGACCTGGCCAGATGAAATTTCGATTGAGTTTTGGAAGTGTGTGGGTAGAGCAGGATTGGAATGGCTGACTGGGTTGTTCAATGTAATTTTTAGGACGAACAAGATGCCGGAGGAATGGAGATCGAGTACAGTGGTACCGTTGTACAAGAACAAAGATGATATCCAGTGTTGTAACAATTATAGGAGTATCAAGTTACTTAGCCATACCATGAAAGTACGGGAGAGGGTGGTGGAGGGGAAGGTGAGGAAGACGATGTCTATATCCGACAATCAGTTTGGGTTCATGCTGGGCAGCTCCACTATGAAAGTTATTCACCTTATTAGGAGGTTGGTGGAATAGTACATGGATAAGAAGAAGGATCTGCACATGGTGTTTATTGACTTGGAGAAAACGTATGATAAGGTTCCTAGGGAGGTGTTATGGAAATGTCTTGAGGCGAAGGGCGTGCCGGTAGCCTACATACGAGCGATCAAAGACATGTATGATGGAGCTAAGACTAAGGTTAGGACTGTGGGAGGCGACTCGGAGCATTTTCCGGTTGTTATGGGATTACACCAAGGCTCTACGCTTAGCCCGTTCTTATTTGCCTTGGTGATGGATGCTTTGACACATTATATTCAATGGGAGGTGTCATGGTGTATGTTATTTGCTGATGACATAGTTCTAATTGACGAGACGAGGGCCGGTGTTAACGAGAGATTGGAGGTTTGGAGACAGACTCTCGAGTCTAAGGGTTTCAAATTGAGCAGGTCTAAGATAGAGTACCTGGAGTGCAAGTTTAGCGCTGAGTCGAGGGAAGTAGGCGGGGATGTGAGGCTTGGGTCTCAGGTCATCCCCAAAAGAGATAGCTTCAAGTACCTTGGGTCGATGATTCAGGGAGACGGAGAGATCGACAAGGAAATCACTCACTGCATAGGGGCGGGCTGGATGAAATGGAGGCTTGCATCTGGAGTCTTGTGTGACAAGAAAGTGCCACCGATACTCAAAGGTAAGTTTTATAGAGCTGTGGTTAGACCGACCATGTTGTATGGGGCAGAGTGTTGGCCGGTTAAGAACTCCCATATCCAGAGGATGAAAGTAGCAGAGATGTGGATGCTGAGGTGGATGTGTGGGCACACTAGGATAGACAAGATTATGAATGAAGATATTCGGAGGAAGGTGGGCGTTGCCGCTGTGGATGACAAGATGCGAGAAGCGAGGCAGATGGAGAAGCCTTGATGCACCGGTGAGGAGGTGTGAGCGGTTGGCCGTGGTGGGTACGAGAAGAGGTAGATGGAGACCTAAGAAGTATTGGGGAGAGGTGATCATGCAGGACATGGTACGACTGTAGATTTCAGAGGACATGGCCCTTGATAGGAAGGCCTGAAGGTCAAGCATTAGAGTTGTAGGATAGGAGTAGTAAAGCTTTCCTTACTTCATACCGGGGGTAAGCGCGGGTTGGATTAGGATTGATCTTAGATGCCTTGCAGTTTACCCACACTATTTTGTTGTTTATCTTAGCCCCGGGCCTTAGATTCTGGTTACTGTTATTGCATGTCATTCATCTTTTGATTTTTATGCTTCTGTTACTATAACGGTTTCTACTGGAGTTAGTAATGAATTCTCTTTTCTTATTTTTTTATTTTATTTTCGTCTTTCTGAGCTGAGGGCCTATCGGGGCAGGGGTAAGAACTACGTACACATTACCCTCCCCAGACCCCACTATGTGGGATTTTACTGGGTAGTTGTTGTTGTTGTTGTTTCTTTTATTTATTTTAAAATAATTTTAAAACTCCAACTTTAAACTACTCCCCAATTTGAATTGGTAATTTATTATTTTTTAAAACTTTATTTTTTATTTTAAAACTCCAACTTGAAACTGCTCCCCGATTTGAATGGCCAGTTTTTCTTCTCTTTTTTTCGTTTTGTTTATAGATAAAAATTTTTTGCTTTTTTATTTTAAAATAATTTTAAAACTCCAACTTCAAACTATTCCCACCCAATTTGAATGGGTAGTTATTTTTTTGTATATTTATATTTTTGTTTTTTATTATAGTTAATTATAAGATATTTATATTTATTAATTCAAATAAAGTAACCAATTAATATATATATATATA